TCTCTTTACTCCCCATACACAGTACTAACTTAAGCATCGGAGTATTCCCATCGGGCAAATCCCCAGGAATCCTTCCTTTCATCTTCTCAGGTGCCAGTCATTGCCAACGAGGAGCCAGTCAGCCGCCAGCTAGGAGTGCCCGGATCACGCCACATCATAAATACATCTACATAGTTTCTGAAAAACTTTTGCCATTAGTGAAGAAGAGCCATAAATATTTAAAGACAAAGAAAGAAGCATATCCAATAGGGCCAGGGGGTTTCAGAATAAGGAAGCCATTAAGGATTCATTCTTCAATTACAACAGAAGGGTGCAGCTTATAAATTCCCAAAGAGTAATAGTACATGATTGTGAAGTACTGGAAGCACACATTAACAAAAGAAAAATGAAAAGAAAAGAAAAAGAAAAACATCAATATGGATTAAAGGACCGGAATCAAATGGTAAAGTAAAATAGACAGAGCTAGTTAGGGTATATCTAACTACTGTCTGAATGAAGAAGATGTCTAATCGAAATGTGGGTAAGATTAAGAAACTGTCTGCACAGGGTACCTATCAATGCAATCTTCTCAGGGACCCTTGGGAGAAGGCTTTACATGCTGAAGAGCTTCCCAGACAGCACTATTACACTTGAAACCACTTCTGAATGCAATCTGCCACACACGGTGGCCCTTGCGCATCCTCCCCTTGGCTTCTGTGTAGGCCAACTCATACCAAATGGAGCTTGACGATGTATTGCCGAAACGGTGGAGGGACATCCAAGAAGCCTCAACATGTACCGGCATCAGCTGTAGGTTCTTCTCCAGTTCATCAATCACAGCCCTTCCTCCGACATGTATGTAGAAATGATCGAAAGCCAGCTTGAAGTCCGGAATGTATGGCTTCACCTTTGCATTGAACAGCTTCTTCGCCACTAGAGTTGCAAAGAAGAGAAGCTGCTCACTAATTGGGAGGACAAGAGGACCGAGGGTGGTAATGTTGGTCTTCAGAGCTCCTCCAGCAATTGCCCGAGAATTTTTCTTAGCTTTTTCTTTTCTCACCAGGGTCGCACTGTTTTGGTGCGCCCCCGTTCACTTAATTTTGGGATCCCACGTCCCTCTTGTTTCTTATCCCAAAACACTGTTTACTAATAAACAAACACAAAATAGGAAGAATAATTTGGGAATATTCCCTTTTCTCATTCCTTTCTCAGCAATCAAACAGACCCTAAGAGATTTATGTTGCTTGCCTAATATTCTATATACACTAATCTGCAAAAGAATAGTAGTTTTGGACAAGAAAACTTAGATGTCATTAATTCTGACATGAAGTAATTTCTAAGTACATCATAGAGAAGTTCTCGTAAAGGCTTAATCCCCATACATTCTCAGTTGATTAGTCGACCTTTGAGGGTGATTCAGGGCTGGAATTTTGTGGATGTGGATAGGAAGGAAACCAAGAATTTCTTTCCTCCCCCCTCCCGGCCTCCCCATTACAAAGTTTGGAGTGGGTAGCGTAAGCTTAGGTTCTTCTACTGTTTTCTCCTTTTCTCATTTTATACTCAACTGTGGCTGCCTATGTATTTGGAAAGGCACCCTGTGGCTTTTAAGTCTCTAGGGCTTTGAAATGTGCTATCTTTGTTAGCTTTAGGGTCTCATTCTCCTGTAGTAGAGGAAAGTCAGGAAGACACTTGGCCCACACTTCTTTCTTGTGATCTCCACAAGCAAGCCTATGTTCCTTTTAGAACTTCTCATGCTGCTGGTGGAGCAGAGTTGTCAGCAGTTGCAACTTGTTATGATCCATTTGTCCCATGTTGGTAGTACGGGAAGCTAATGTGAGGTATCTCACAACGGTAGTATGGGATGTTATTGTGGGGTATATATGTATTTGGGTTCCCTCCCTCTAACAGCTAGTTTTTAGGGGTGAGTTCTCCCAAGGCACATAACAAATAGTATTAGAGCCTAACTATGCCTCCCAGTTATAATCGTGCGGCGTAGGTGGTGACGTCGATATTGCAATGTTTGGCCAAGACTAGGTGGACTGGTGCAAAGCCTGCCTGTGTGGGCACCTGGAATGCGGAGCATGGTGGAATGTTACGATCCATTTGTTTCATGTTGATAATATGGGATGCTAATATGAGGTATCCCAGATCGGTAGTATGGGATGCTATTGTGGGATATATATGTGTTTGAATTCCCTCCCTCTAATAGCTAGCATTTAGGGGTGAATTCTCCTAAGGCACATAACACAACTTGCAATGATAGGAGGAAGAGAGAGAGAGAAAGAGTGAGGGTTGGGTGAATTCTCCTAAGGCACATAACACAATTTCCAATGATAGGAGGAAGAGAGAGAGAGAAAGAGTGAGGGTCTCTAGCTACAAGGGTGAGGGTTGCAATGGTATCTTTGACAGCAGTGAGACTTGCGCTATGTATCGGCAACGTCGATGAGGCTCGCGCTATGTGCCGGTGAGGGTGAAGGGCCGATGGGGAGGGAGGGGAAGAATCGAGAGGGAATGAGGGGTGGTGGGGAGGGAGGAGAAGAAAATAGGGAGAGAAATTTGTATTTGATTGAAGTTTGGAGTCTAGGTTGTCGTTAGGTTTGGACTCCATCAGTTTCAAATTTATTTGGGAGTGAGTGACATGTTCAATCCTCATTGGATGGGACAAAAAAATTTCTGTCCCTAGGGGAAAGGTGATGTGAAGTTGGTGTTGATTGATATCATGACATCAATGTCACCCATCACCACTCACCCACAAATCAATTTGGTAGACTTAACTTATTTGTGTGTTTTCTTTCAACCAGAATCATGACTAAAATTTTGAGCCAAAATGTTGCTTTTGTAATAGTAAATTTGATAAATAAAATAAAGTGCAAAATTTATTCTTCTTTAAATCTTACCCTTCATGCAATTGGTCAAGCTAGTTGTAAATTTTAATCCTTCGCTTAGGTTGCGTTTGTTTGCAATGTAAATGCAGACTAATGTAAAACTCCACTCCTAGTCCTATTTGTCAGCATTTGTTTGCGATGTAAATAAGGGCCTGTGCAAAGCTCTACTTCCTGTCTACATTTGTCGGCATTTGTTTGTGATGTAAATAAGGGTTCATGTAAAACGCTTAGGCTGCGTTTGTTTGCAGTGTAAATGCAAACTAATGTAAAACTCCACTCCTAGTCCTATTTGTCAGCATTTGTTTGCGATGTAAATAAGGGTCTATGCAAAGCTCTACTTCCTGTCTACATTTGTCGGCATTTGTTTGTGATGTAAATAGGGGTTTGTGTAAAACTCACTCCTAGTTCTTATTTATTGGTGTTTAATGTAAAACTCCACTCACAATAGAGTTTTACATCGATAATTACGTTTTCAAAGTACAACGGTTCACAAATTTTAAATTGATCGGTGTTGAACTTCATTGATGTACTTTTACACCGCAAACAAACGTAGCCTTAAAGTTACAAAACCTCCACCATTAACAATGATTTTTGTTTTCTAAAACAAAACAATTGTCATGTAAAAACAATTTACCAATAGTTGGTGGTAAGTTGGTATATTATATGGTTAGTTGTAGTGGAGACTTAAGGGTCAAATCAAACCACCATCGGGGCTGCAAGGTTATGGGTATAGAGGATGGGCTATCCATATTCTGTGGTTCCATCAGAATATATGAGAGAGAGAGGGAAAGTAAAATTTAAAGAAATAACCTAATAGTAATATTTTCAACCCGTTGTTGACCTAGCCGATGAACCATTTGAACCATCACCCAGCCTTGATTTTGGGTCCTTATGTTGAAATCAACCATTTGATCAAAAAGGTTGACCTGGTCAAAAACTATCTGATCTGGGCGGTTCAACAATTGCCCCACGACCTTGAGGCAAAAATGGTTCAACCTCTAAATCGGTTTTTTAAAACATTGAATAATAGAATGCTAACATATACATCATTACACCCTTAAAGAATAATGGAGTAAGGTAGATAAATTATCGAGGGTGAATGGTTTAAACTTCTCCTCAAGTTTCTGGTTGTTGCTGAAACCTCCTTGAAGTTTGATAATTGTAATCATCTCCCATAAACAGTCTCATGTAGTTGCAAGTTGACTCCTTTGTTAAAATCCTCTAAAAAGAGGCATGAAAATGTCCAAAATACATATGTAGTTATTATTGACAAAAATGTTTGTTTTCCAAATTTTCTCTTCATATAAATCTCTATCCCAAACCCTTTCAATATCTTTTCTGAAATTGATTTATTTTTTCAAATTTTCCCTTTATATCAATCGCTCAAAGGTAAAGATACAACTTCAAATTCTCTTTTATTTTTGGTTGTTTATAAAGTTTATATTGTTTTTTTTTTTATGTAGAAACCAACCTCAACAGTAACTGCATAGGGATTTTGGTCATTTTCGTGCCACTTCTTAAAGGATTCTAACATAGAGAGTCTACTTGCGGTTTAGAGGAGATAATTGCAATCACCAAACTTTTGGGGAGATTTCAACAACAGTTAAAAACTTAGGGGTGGTTTCTACAATTTACCCTAAATCTGAAATCTTGATAATGGCTACTCTTCTTGCTTTGGTTCTTGTTATCTCTCCATAAGTGTCGCATTTTGCTGCCTAGTTATTGACTGCAGCCCAATGTGGCTTTCATTGCCCTTGATTTTTTATCCTTGTTATTTCCCCATGCCACAAAAAGGCTTAAAATATGCACTGGATTGGAGAGCTGCACGAGCTTCGGCCGACTTCCATGGTTATCAGAGCCTGGAACACCATTAGAGTTCCTTTTCTTTACAAAATAACAAAAAATGCTAAATGGTAAAGAAAACGTGAAAAGATTCTCTAAATTTAAAAGTTAAAACCATGGTGCTGAGTGATGAAGGGTGATTTGGCACGACCTAGTAAGAAGGGGGTCACGTGGACGCGATCTGCTCGAGGGGTGACAACTCAGCCAAAGGAACCCAATTCGCAACATTCGGAGCTCGGATATTTAGTCACCTCGGCGTAGACACACTTCGACACCCAATCCAGTTTGGGACGAAAGAACCGAAGTACCAGTTCAGAGCTAAAGAGCCGAAACGCCACGTAATCGACTCCAAAGGCCTCCTCAACGGACCCCGAATTTCTCGGGATCACGACGAGACTCATCCTAGCTCCGCTTGAATCAGAGGAAAACGACAAACCTTATCAACTAATGCATTGCTCTCCTTCAAAATCGGAACAGATTTTATCCGCACAACCAGGAGATCCCGGAGCTCTTTCGTAAGGCCCACGACTACTCCATTATATAAGGACATCAAACCCCAAGGCAAAGGTATGCGTGATTATTTACTCACTAGCATTCAAGTATTCAACTCGCATCCACAGTATAGAACTGACTTAAGCATCGGAGCAACCTTGCCGGGTTAGCCACCCCGGGTTCTCTGATCTGTTATTTTGCAGCTTGGTCCAGCTCACCGTGCAGTTGGAGTTCGGATCATCTTCCAGCTAGGAGTATCTAGATCGCGCACCATCACTAAGCATTATTAATTACTCTGTAATCTCTATTCTTTCTTATGCATTATCAGTTTTCTCGTATGCTTGACCGATACAAGTTAATTCTTCTAACTTCGAGAGCTTTTATTTCAGTTTGGAGTATTGTATTTCTCTTGAATCTAGTGAATTCATTGTCCGATGCCTCACTCTGAGACCAGACCAACCTGATCTATCTTCTAAATGAAGATATCCAACAACTTGTCTTACAAACAATCAAACAGTTTGTGTCAATGTTTTAAAACCGAACTGTTTTTGCCTCCAGGTCGCAGGTCACTGGTTTGACCGGTTGGGTTGAACGGTTTAGGCCGTGTTATATCATCATATATATGTATTAAGTGTATATATGTATGTATGTGTATATGTGTATATATGTATATTTTATGAATAAATAATATATAAATATGTTATATGTATTTTTATATTTAATTTATTTTTTAATTTTTTATTAATAATAAATATTAAATATTGCAATTTGAGGCCAAAAAAGAGTTTTTTTTTTTGCAAAAATAGAGGGGCAAGGCACCTAAGGCCCTCGGAATGCATAGATCTAGAAAAGTTACCAAAAATAAAAAAAACTCAATCGGACATGAGAGTGTAAAGTTATGACCTTCGTAAATTTGCATACATTGAATGTGCAACTTGCGGCCTAATAATCGAGTCGAATGGATCAACAATTGAACCAGCCAAGTTAAATGGTTCTTAACCAAATCAACAAATTTTGACCGTCCGACATATCTTAATTGAGCTGGACCCGAAATCTTGACCAAGTGGTGGTTTAAATGGTTCGACCGACGAGACCAACAATGGATTGAAAACACTGATTTATATTGAGCGCAACACTAGTTGAATCACACATTTGGGATCTGCCGGTGATGCATTTACTATAATTCCTTGTTGCAGAATATCCCAAATCTGCTTGCTGGTTATCCCAAATGCATTTACCAGAATTCATTCTTGCCCATTCTGCGACTGGCCCACTAGTGATGCTAACTCGGTCACAGGGTCCTAACACACGGCCTAGATAGGGCTGTTAGTGGTACCCGAAAAGCTAAATACGACCGACATTTAATTCGATTATCTTAGATTAAAATGATGTATATACAATCGAATCTGATTTAGATATTACAATCTATATCCGATTAATATAGCATTTATTATTTTTCATATATAAATTTTATATAATTATATTTAAAATTATAAAAATATATTGTATATCATATATAATAAATTTAGTATGTTATATTTATATTTATATTATTTATTTATAAATATAAATGTTATGTTTATATTATTTATATATAAAGGTTATATTTATATTATTTATTGTTTATTTACAAAAAATATTGTATATCATATTATATGTGAACTTATATTTTATTTATATTATTTATTATATATAAGGGTTAAAAAGTAAATAAATTTTCAATATTTTTGTTACTTCAGAAAATCTGTAACGGACCCGAATTAATTCCGCATCCGATCCGATTACAGCCTCCCGATGTACGTGGCCGCGGCTGTTGGGACCGGATCCGGACTCGCTTTACATAACCTATCGGATTTTTCTGAATTAAAATTAAGGGATTTTTGGACTGCAATAAAAATCCCTAAAATTAATGTCCATAAATAGCACTCGGGAATCGCCAAATCCGGATAGTACTCGTAATAAATCGTACCGTCCAGACTCCAGTGGGAACCCTACTGACACGTGTCTTGTATTTGCATCTTAAAAGCTACCTGTCTTCTTTAAACAAAAAAGAGGGTTAAGGTCTTCAACGTGTCATCTGGATGGCTTGCGCTTCCGTACACGTGTGGAATCTTACGTGTAAAAATAGACGAGAAGACATCCTTGTCATCATTCACCGTTACGATCTTAACGGATGGTTTGAAGTTACCGTAACGGCGTAATCACGAAGCTGCCGCGATGCCGTCTTCTTTCCTCTCCTCTGAAGTCTGAACTCTCCTTTTCGTCTCCGTATTTGTTTTCTCTCCTGTTAGTACACTCTTCAGTCTTCATTCATTGCCTCTTTAATCCCATTCGAAAGTAAAACAGTTGATCAGCTGAAAAGGCAGTGATTTACAAATTTCGACCATTTTTAGTATTTATTCCTCTGATTCGAGGTAGGATTTCAGTTCGTTCCATTTGTTCATTAGTACTATGAATTCGTGGCGAGCAGATAGGATTAACAGACAGATTTCTAGAGTTTCTATGGTGTTTGCCGGGTTCCCTTTATTGGATTTCTAGGGTTTTGGTCTTGGTACTGGTTAAATTGTTGCTCTCCGGAGTTTAGATTCAGTACATTTCAGAATCGGGGGTTTTGCTGTGATGAGTTGTTACTGCCCCTGTGGATGGCGGCAAATTTTCTATGGGTCGTTTATTTGTTTGTGTTTCACGGATTCATCGCTTTCATCAGCCCTAGCCTTTTATTCCAAATTGGCTTTGTTTCCGCTTTAGGGGACGGTTTCTCAATTGTTGATTTGGATTACGATTTGTTCGGTCACGATTATTCACCACCCTCACCACCTCCTTCGGACCCGCCCCTGCAACCGCCATCACTGTCTTGTGAGGAAGATCTCAAGGGAATTGGGTCGCTAAATACTTCTTGTCAGCTCATTAACAGTTTACAGCTCGAGGAGGATTCATACATAGAAGGGAAAGGCAGGTTAGAAATCTTTCCAGGTGTGTCCTTCAGTTGTCCAATTGCTGGATGCTCAATTACCATCAACATTACTGGAGATTTTAGTTTGGGCGAGAATGCGTCCATCGTGGCGGGAACGCTTATTTTGAAAGCGAACAATGCAAGCTTGCTTAATGGATCCACAATCAATACTACAGCTTTGGCCGGCGATCCTCCCGCGCAGACCAGTGGCACTCCGCAGGGTATTGATGGTGCAGGTGGGGGGCATGGGGGCAGGGGTGCTTGTTGCTCGACGGATAATTCGAAGCTTCCGGATGATGTGTGGGGCGGCGATGCTTACTCTTGGTCATCACTCACATTACCCTGGAGTTACGGTAGCAAGGGTGGCACGACCAGTAAAGAGGAGGACTATGGTGGTGGTGGTGGTGGACGGATTAAGCTTGAGATAGTTAATTTTCTTGATGTTAGAGGAACTGTTTTAGCTGATGGAGGTGATGCCGGTTTCAAAGGTGGAGGTGGATCCGGTGGCAGTATCTACATCAAGGCTCATAAAATGTAAGCTCTTCCCTTGTAACCTTAAGTAACTTAAACAACCACTCGTTAATGCATACGTACTTAACTGATTGCCTTTTCCTCTTTATTCTTCATTTCTATTCTCTGACAAACGCTTATTAGTCTACCTTTTGGTTTAAGTAATCAACAGAACGTTTTTCCTCTGTAGCTATTTTTTCTGCTTCGCTAACCATGGTTTGCTGCATTTCTTACCCATTTTCACATACTAGATGTGGTGGGCTCCTAGTATTTTATGTTATTGGAAAGCTTTCTTATCTTGATGGATAGAACCTACCATAATGCAATGCACGTAAAAGTTTATGCCCCTTCATATTCACATACCATGTATATGAGTGGCAAGTCTCTCAAACCTGGAAATGTACATAGAGGGAGAGCATAAATGAATTCAGACAATATGATGCAAGTTGCTCATAGAGAGAATATAGAAGGTGAGATAATTGGAGACAGAATAATGGAGAGAAAATGGACATGTGTGATGAGAGATTTTAGGAGTTTACGGGCTTTGGATTGTGCAAAGTTCCTCTACTTAATACAGGGGCGGCATTTCGGAAATAGGAAGAGAGTTTTCTCAGACGTCATTGTGGGGAAATTAGGAAGAGGTCTTGGTAGGAAGACGCAGGGAACAAGGAAACTTGGGTCATTGAAACAACATACTTCCTTCTTGAATTCATCAGTAATTTCTAAGAAAATGAAGAACACCAATACTGGGCATCTAATTCACATTACCAAAGCCTTCTCCACGCTGAAAGATGGGCTCACAAGTGTAGGCCCAAGTAGCAAATTCAAGAGAGTGTATAGAAGGAAAAAATTGAAAGACAAAACTTGTTTGATCAGAGACACTATTGTTGAGAATCTATTAGTTGGTGGTGAGAAGGGAGATAAATTAGCAGACCTCACCGAGGAGGTTTTGGCAAAAGAAGGGGTGTCAGTTGGTTTTAGGAGGGGAATAATTCACTAGAAGAGCACTTCGGGAGTTAGAGCTACAGTACCCACTGAATACTGAAAGCCCTTGATATGATTAGTGTCAGCTTTTGGGTTTTTTGTTTAAGGAGATTTTCTGTTGGGTGGGCATATTGGCATTGGTTATCTGAGGGTTGTGTGCTTCAGAAGCAAGTTTGTGGGTTAATTTTCTGAGATTTTCAAGGTCAAAGTTTCTTTTTTGTTTCTGGGTTTGGGAACTTTGGTTCTTCTCTTGGGTGCTTTGCCATTCTTATTGGGTGATATCTTATCACCTATATTGTTCTTTTTTCTTCTCTTAATAAATTTTCTTTTTTATTTACTACCAAAAAAATTTGAATTTTAAGAAAGAGCTGGCGTGCCCATGTTTAATTTGGGGGGGGGGGGTGGCCTCAAGGGAGTTCTGTGACAACAGTTGCATCAGATGTAGTCTCCTTTGTAGTACCTCTAAAATGAATCCACTATTATCAGTTGGTTTGTATTTCTCTTCATATGACCAAAAAACTCAAGTACATATATTAGATGATTTTGTGTCAAGAATTTTTCTTTTCTTTTTTCAACCATATTTAACTGAATATAGAAATTTTGGCACAAGAAATTCCCCAGTGTACAAATGTGGCCCATCAGTGTCTTCTACTGAATATAGAAATTTTGGCACAAGAAATTCCCCAGTGTACAAATGTGGCCCATCAGTGTCTTCTACTGAATATAGAAATTTTGGCACAAGAAATTCCCCAGTGTACAAATGTGGCTCATCAGTGTCTTCTATAGTGAGAATATCCATTCATTATATTGTTGGTGATCATCATCATCCATGCCTCATCCCAACTATATGGGGAATTATATTTTTGGTGATCTGTTGTGCAAATGCAACTAAATGTATTTCATGTGCCCAGTTAGTGAACTTATATGATTCCAAGGCTCTAGAGAAAAGCAGAAAGTTATTTAATTAACAATGCACCTCATATTCTCATTGGTGTAGATTATGAAAGAGTAATTGGAGCATAAGGTTCTGTCTTGAAGAACTCAAACAATAAATGTATTGGCTACAGCAATAGTGGCTTACTGGGTGTCTAATAGATGATTTTAAAGGAGTATCAATAATTTATCATTGGGGGCTGACACACAATGGGTGACATCTTTCTTGAAAGATGACCCGTACAACAGGCTTGGAAGCTTCCACTACCAGGTACAGTGAAGTTAATTTTGATGATAAAGGGGGATTCAGAAATTATAGTGGGATCCTCAAAAATAATAGTCTGGGTGAACAGATGCATCCTAAGATATATTGGATGTCTAATTAGAGGGAGCTACTTTCATATGGGCTCAAAGATCATGCAATTTTATGGCAGATACACTGGCCAAGCAAGGGGTGAACAGGTCAGAATTGTACTGGGGATCATTCCTAGGGAAACTGATGGATAATGTAACACAGAAAACTAGAAAAGTGGGTAAAAGGGAAACTAGTTAGGTAGCAGGGCTAGCCTAAAACAGTGGGATGCTTGGTATATTCCATTGTATGTAACACAAATTCTTTTCCACAAATTAACAAAGACATTTAAATTACTGATAAAAAACTTAAATTTTGATGACTTTCACTAATCCAGGTGTTGAAAGAGCATTTACAAACTATAATGGTGTTGTTGTGAAAATTTTAATAAATTCTCATACAACATAATTCACTCAATCAAGTGATTGAGTTTTTATTATTTTGGGTAAGGCCCATTCAGGGAGTCATACGAATTGTTCCCCTTAATTACATCTCCACAATAAAGTAGAGAACACCTTTTTGATTCTGACTTAGAGAAATGAATGCATGGAACAAAAGAAAAGAACAATAGAGTACTTCTAAAAAAACTTTTCATTTGCATTTCTTTTACATCAAGTGTACAAGAATGAGAAGAAAAAAGAAAATACAACTGAGAAACTCTACAACAATATATTTCTCTCTTTTTTTTCTTTTTGATACAAAGAAGATTTCCTTCTCACTCCTTTCTTCACAATAAGCTGTAGTCAATCAGATGAAATTCTGACTGTAAATAGCCTTAATCCTTTGGATTTTGCATACAAGAAGGGAAACGTAGTCAATCAAACTGAATATTTGATTGTAGACAGTTTTTATCCTTCTGTTCTTCATTTTCATTTGAAGGGAATCAGCCCTTGAGATTTGAGAATTAGGTTGTAGATGGTTTAATCCCTAACTTTGTCTTGAAAGAGGGACCATAACCAACCAAGTAGAAGCACCTGGTTGTAGATGGTTTATTTCCCTCTATTTCCTTTCTCAAAAGTAAAAATCAAAGAGAGAGAAAGAAGGATACATAGCAGAAGACATATATAGGAAGTATTCACAGAGAGGACTTTCCTTTTCCTACCTGTATTAGTGAGATTTCTTTTCCTTCTCTGTCTTCCCTTGGAACTTCTGTTTTTTTCTCTCTTTGTTGGTTTTTCTTAAGAATTTCTAAGAGTGATATGCTTTGAGACACAATTTTCTCCGAAGAGGGGGATCTAGCTTCTCCTTGAGGAGCTTAAATAGGGAGTGGGGTAGTTATGTAACTACCTCCTCCCCCTAGGTGAAGGACACCTGTCCCTCCCACTTAAAGAGGGGGAACTCCCATACGGGATACTTTTTTTTATAGTTTTGATGATTTGGCTAGCAGACTAGCCAACCCACTTATTTGGGTTATAAATTATTTGTTATTTGGATTTAAAAAATGCCTTCAACAAATGGTGAGGCCCTTGTGGAATATTATGGTCTTGTTTGGATAAAGACTTCTAAGTGATGATACTGGTTTGTGGACTGAGACTGGGATTCGCATCTAGTTGGGTGAAATTGATGGTAGAAAGGACTCTTAAGTAGTGATTGCATAGATGCAATCCCATTCTGAAAGATCTTGGTACCTGAGACATTTCATTAGGGAGGCCAGGTCTCTACTCTCTAGCCATTGCACTGAAATAGCTCATTCAGGTGTGTACTAACATCATCAAACTCACTTGAAGATAGCTGACATATGAAGGAGTGGCTAGGGAGGATGGTTTCTGGGGTGTAACAAATGGGACTATAAATATTTCCATATATGTCTTGTTGTTGTCTGTAATAAATCTAACAAAATTTCCAATACTCCAACATATTTCTTATTTAGTGCCCATTTGGGAGGGCTTTCACAGAGCAGCTTCTAGCGTTGTATGAGCCAAGAAACCTGGAAAATTGTGAAGCTCTGGTTGGTAAAAATCTGGAAAGCCGAAGCCTTTCAGGAGCCTAAAAATTGACTTTCTGGTGAAGCTATCATAGGTAGCTTCTTGTAAGTGTCTCTGTCAATGCAGCTCAAGCACAGCAGAAGCCCTCCCAAACGGTATCTTAAGTGGTCAACATTTCCACCGAAACTGACATTTTAAACCTTCTATACTTTCAAAGATCAGCTCAAGTATGCATATGCATTTCACACATATCTAGGCACTTCTCTTATATTGATAAATTTTATGTCTTTTTTGGAAAGAGCAGGAATGGAAATGGCAAGATAAGTGCCTCCGGGGGCAATGGTTTTGCTGGAGGTGGTGGTGGAAGAGTTTCTATCAACATTTACAGCAGGCATGATGACCCGAAAATCTTGGTTCATGGTAGGCTCACTCTCTCTCTCTCTCTATAAAGAAAAAGAAATTATGGGTCAAGTAATCATTTGAATGAACTGTTTGGAGATAAATTAATGTTTAACTACTTTTTATTATATACTGATGGGAATTTCTATTTTATTGAAAGAGGAATTTTGTTGGCTGTTTCCAGGTGTTCTTGGTGGTTATCATGTGGTCCTTTTTTTTTTTTTCTAATGATGAGATGAAAACTCTAACTATTTTAATGCTGAAAAGTTATTTTGTTGTCATACATGATTATGACTTGTGAAAACACAAACACTGCCACAAGTTGTTAGGAGAAAAGTGATCATAACTTTGTTCTTCTGGGCTAACGCAATCTTGGTCTCGTCGAGTAGCTAGCTAGTCAACAAAATGTTAATCACTCATGGTATTTAAGAACTTCTTAACATAGAAAAATAGCTGGTGGTGATGTAATCAGATAGTTCAAAGATGATAAGTTGAAAATCTAGATGGGCATAAAGTTTGATAACTATGATATTTTGAGATTTCTAGAGATTTATTTGTAAGGCACAAATGGCTCCTCTTGATACTCTTGTGACCTTTGAAATATGTGGTTGATGCAGTTAATTGTTGTTTCAAGGATTGTGGTCAGATTGGGCTACCTGTTTTGGTGATTAATTGTTGTTTACTTTGTGCTTAATTGAGTCATATAAGAGTAATATATGTATTCTGGCTCTTGTTTAGGGTTGTTTGGAGCTTTGGATATGAGAAGAAGTTAGTCCTTAGTTTAGTTAGAGTTTAGATCCTATTCTCTTTTTGATTTCTTTAGGTTGTAAGGAACTCAATTCTAAGTAGGTGAATGTATATGTTGTCATCTCTAAGTGACAAGTAGGTGATGGGTAAGTGACAACATGATATGCTGACAAGCAGGTGATGAGTAAGTGGCAAGTACAGTTTATAATTGAAAGAGACAACAAGCAGGTGACAAGTAGCAAATTGGAATTACTTGCTTATGAAGGAATTTCTCAGTCCAAGTCTATACATGCTTATATATTTGTTCTTTTGAAAGAAATAATCAAGTAATGTCTGTTTACTGTGAGTCAGATTTCTATTGAATCTTTTAGAAGTTGTGATGCTTTCTTCCTCTTGGAGTGATTCCTGGAACCCTAGTGTGAGGCTGTTCCCTCTTAGTTAATAACATTTTTTGAATACGCTAATGGAAAAAATGACCTTGTTCTTCCCATTATTCCTTTTTTATTTTGTATTTTCCTGAGGGAGTCTTTGTTCTCTTGCACAGCACAGCTTGGGGTGTTTCATTGAGATTACCAATGTCTAGGTATGACAGTTGCATTCGATTACTGACAACATAGTTTTGAATCTTTTGATTGAGAAATCTGAAATGCTATCAGATGAAAAGTTAGAATCTTAGAGAAATACTTTAGGACCAAAAGGCCTTGAGAATTGAGATAAATATAATATAACAGTATATATACAATGCAAAGGTAGATAAGTAGAAGTGAGATTTGCAATTGAGATTATACCTTATTTTGAGCATTTTTTATACTCATTCCCTGGTTGTATCACCTTCTGTATTTTCTTGTTTATATAATGAAGTATTTTGAGCCTTTTTACTACTAAGGTTATCCATAGTGAGGGAAAAATTGAAGAGGATGTTGCTTATAGAATTAGAGCAAGGTGGATGAAGTGGAGTTAAGTTTGTAGTATTGATGTGTTATGTGATTGGTACAAACCAATTAGATTACAATGGAAACTTTATAAGCTAGGCTCTTAGGCTGGTAATATTATATGGAGCAGTTCATAGATTCAAGAAGCAACATATCCATGAAATAAGTATAGAAAAAGTTAGGATGCTAAGCTGGATGAACAGAAAAACTAGGAAGATGACTGCCAAGTGGGTTATCTCTTGGTTCTCTATGACAGATACAGGCCCTTGGACTCTCTGATATTTAATTATAGAGGCAGACAATGGTGTCCAACATGAACTGCTTATTCAACTGCGAATTCTTAGTAAGATGGGCTATAAGGGATGAATTGGTTTGGGAGGAACTCCAGGACTGGGGGTTATTTTGTAATCAACTGGGGAAAAATTTCTGATAAAAAAAACTGTGGAGAAAACAGTTGTATACATGGATCAAAGTATTGACATGCCAATACTGATTTTTCACATATCAAGCATGTCAAAGCTTTGATACTTCCTAAGAGAAAAGGTTTGAGAGGTGTCAACTAGACATTAAGGTAGGTATTAATCTGTGAAGATATGTATTAACCCTAATTCTTTCAATTTAGTGTATCAAGAATCTCAAAAACTAATACATATTGTACAATACGGTAAGATATTTATCGATACTTCGAACCATGGTTGGATATTGGATAAGCTGTTGGATGCTTCTATTTTAGTGGTCCTAATATCCATATCCATGGAAATGAGGTTCTATAGACATTATTCAATAACATTTCAGTACTTTTGTGGATAAAAGAAAAAAAAGATTAGGAAGGATTTAATTAGTCATGGGAATCCAGGAGTATCCCCAGTAATGGTTTCAAACTTTTGTCAAAGTTGAATTGTTTTTGACCAAAATAATTTGGATCCAGTTGGGGATGAAATAAAAGGTCAACAAACTATTAAAATTACCTGGTTTGGGCCAAACTTCCTAACATTTCAATAGTAAAGGGTTTTTATGTTGGCTACCAACCTGACACAAGTAGTTGGGTTAAGGCTGAGTTGAATTGAGAAGCTAAAAGACTTGGAGATCCATTCATGCTATCCTACCTTCCTTCCTGCCTTTTATTAGGTATGACCTTTGTTCTAGAAACTCCGTAAAATTTTGGAAACTTCTTTGGGTGGGAGATGCGCCTTTGAAAGAACAATTTCCTTCCTTGTTTAAGAAGGAACTGTAAGGGCAGTCTGCAGTATAGAGAAGATACTTGTGTTTGTGTGCGGAGAGGGATCAATCACTATTTTACTAAAAAGTGAAAGTTGGGCTGAAGCTACTAATAACAACTAACTCCCGGAAAGTAGAAAGATCTCAAAAGCAAGATAAAGACCAAATAAAACATAGGCAAGAGGTGGAGTGAAATGATCTAAGGGCTGACAAGTTGACAGAAAACATGGGTTTTGATAGAGCACAATGGCAGGATATGATTCATGTAGCCAGTTCCAAATGGTTTAGATTAAGGCTGAGTTCAGTTGAGCTGAAGCAAATACCTCCTGTGGTTCCTGAGGGCATGCCTTTTCCAGCTCCAAGTGTCTCTAACAATCTTCTGGTGGTGGAATAAATGGTTAGACATTCTCTATTTCATTTGTATATGATATACCAATTATCCAGTTGGAAACTTTGGTTCTTAAGATGGTTCACTTCCAAGACACTATATACTGTTGGTCATGATGCTGATGCGATCCACTGAGCTCCTAACCAAGTTGTAGAATGAGTTCACCAAGAGAATACCTCTATAATCCTCCTTCCAAATCCTTGAACACCTCTAGAACTGGTTGCAGCCATGTTGACTGTTAGAGTCGACTGTAGAGGGGTAGTATAGTCAATTTACATTGTTTTATATGCTTGATGTAGTTACAAGTAGATCCTAAGTTAAGTGATGTGTCCCACACTTAAGTAGGGGCACAATAGTCATTGTGCATTGTTTTAGAAAACTATAAATAAAACTGCTGACTAGAGAGAGATCTCTCAAGTTTGAACTAGACCTTCTTTTCTCTTCTTCTCCTCTTCTCTTCTCTTCTCTTTCTTCTACTCTTTCACCATTATTTCTCTCTCCTTACTATTTCGAACCTAAGAACATCACAGGTCTGAACTTTATCATGGTATCAGAGCCAATATAATCAGTTCAGATCAGCCCAGTTTTTCTTCTTTTTAGTGCCCATCCTATTAGGTTTTTGCAGGTTTCTCACTGGTCGATAGGAGTTTCACAGAAGGGCTGAAAAGGAGTGACCATTTTTTATCTGGAGGTTTTCATGCCTCCAATGGGTGGTGTTGTGGCTGTTTTGTGTGGTTGGTAGAAAACCCTCTATTCGATGGTTTGAAGAGGGCTGATTTCAGTGGTGTAGTTGACTGACAGTGCAAGTCTGGTTTGTGGGGGTTCAAATAGGTAGGTTGCATGGGTGTTAGAGTGAGGAATAAGTTTTGATGTGTAGCAGGACATAGTACTATATATGTGAGGTGTATTCTGGTGGTTTAGGGTGCTGAAAGTGGAAGACAGCAGTGGTGTTGTTGTTGAAAGTGGTGAACAACAGTGAGTGTTGTTGCTGAAACCTTTGACAGTTGGTACTCTAGCAATAATCAGTCATTGGTGTGTAGTGGACTGACAGACTAATGATCTTTTTTTGGGCAGCTATGGGAGACAGCAGTGAATGCAAGTCTAGTGTAATGGTTCCCCCTGATTATTTGAATGTGCAAATGACATCTCTCAAACTGAATGGTGAGAACTATGTGCCTTGGGCTAGATCTGTTGAAGGTTTACTGAAAGCTAAGAAGAAAGTGAAGCATGTGAAGGAAGATAAACCCTCGGCTGATTCTTAGGGGTACGATGAGTGGGAGCAAGGGATGCACAAATTATGACATGGTTATGGAATAGTATGGAACCCAAGATCAGTGTGAACTTTATGTTCTTAGATACAGCCAAGGAGGTTTGGGATCATGCAAAGAAGCTTTATTCGGGACAAGACGACACTACTAGGGTTTACCAACTTTGCCAAGAGTATTTTAATCTGCAACAGGGTAATCAGAGTCTTGGGGAATATTATGCTAGTATAAGAAATCTGTGGAATGAGTTGAATGTGTATCATCCACTTACATCTGATGTCAAAATTCAGCAACAACAGAGAGAGCACTTGGATGTAACCAGATTTTTAGTAGGGTTGAAGTTTGAATATGAACCAGTGAGAGCACAGATACTAGGTGGGTCTGCCCTTCCCTCTCTTGAAGAGGTGTTTGCCCGTCTCTGGAGGATCTCGGTTGGACCTACGGAGAACTCCACTATATCAAATAGGTCTG